TGGGGAAGAAAACCTGTCAATGCATTGACTGGTCTGATCCTCACCTGACTTTTATTTACTGAGCTGCTAAACTATATGTGATACCAGAGGAGAGTGGACCTCCAAATATGGCCCAAAGTTCTTGTCTCTGACTCACATGAAGGCCAAAATAGCAATGCTGCTTTTTCTGATTAACCTTTAGCACCAACAGACACAAATTCCAAATTCCAGTTTCCTCCAAATCAAGTGTATCATCTATTTTTGATGTTTTTAGAAGATCACTCTAAAATGGACCACTTACTCTTTTGACTTTGGGTTTTTTGTTTTTGTTTTGTTTTGATTTTCACCCCTGACCTGCTACCTGCATCAGGTTTTAAGGGTTGGTATGTGCTGGCTCCTGAAAGCTCACATTCCAGTGGAGAGGGTTACCAAAAGGGGGACCAGGTTAGCAGAAGATGAAGTAGTGTTTCTCTAGTCTCAAGATGAATATGTATTTTTAAAATTTTTTAATGTCTATTTTTGAGAGAGAGAGACCGAGTGTCAGTGGGGGAGGAGCAGAGGCACAGAAACTGAAACAGGCTCCAGGCTCTGAGCTGTCAGCACAGAGCCCGACGTGGGGCTCAAACCCACGAACTATGAGATCATGACCTGAACTGAAGTTGGACGCTTAACTGACTGAGCTACCCAGGTGCTCCAATGAATCTGTATTTTTAATCTAATTCTTGAGATTTAGAAATTAAGTTCTTTAGCTGTTTCTATGATTATTTGGTACTATAGGTATAAAATAAATTTGATAAGTTGTATTTCTTTATTAGGATCTATTCATAACATTTCTATCCTAAATGTGTGCCAAAGGAAACATTTGCTGGCTTGCTAATAAACACAAATGAAGTCAGATTCCATAACTTTGTGATCAAGGATAGTCAGGAATTGTACTTGGCTACAAATAACAGTGACACAAAGAACAGTGCCGTTGTGATTATGCAGGGTTAATATTGTGACTTCTTGCTCTGTCCTCTTCTCCCTTCTCAGGATCCCCTCATGGTCATAAAGTGGCCAGGGTAGTTCAGCCATGACTAGTCAGCCCCCTTTTAAAGTAGCATTCTGCTCAACCAACTGAGCCACTCAGGTGCCCTTAAGGTAGCATTCTGAAAGCCCTACCCAGTAACTTCTGTTTACTTACAGTTAGCCAGAATTTTGTCACTTGGCTACTGATATCTACCAGCGAAGACAGAGAATGTAGTTTTCCATTGCCAACTCATTCCCCACTCCCCAAATGAGCAAACAGAAACTCCATTCTATTTTTTTAAATGCTTATTTATTTATTTTGAGAGAGAGACAGTGTGAGCAGGAGAGGGGTGGAGGGAGTGAGGGAGGGGTAAAGGTGGGAGAGGGAGAGAGAAAGAATGAGAATGAATGAATCCCAAGCAGGCTCTGCATTGTCAGCATGCAGCCCATGTGGGACTCGAACCCATGAACCTGAGCCTAAACCAAGAGTCGACTGGTTGCTTAACTGGCTGAGCCAGCCAGGTGCCCTGCCATTCTCTTTTTAAAAAGAAGGGAAAAGTAGGTATTGGTAAGCACCCAGCGAGATTTCTGCCACTAGTGCCTTTTATGATCTGTCCTAACCTTTCTTTGGATCTTCTCTGCTGTTGTAAGCACTTGACAGTGGAGCTCCACTAGAACACTGGGCAGTCACTGCGAACCCCTCACTTCCCTTCCCCCATATTTTGTGCATATTCTGAAAGGCTTTTGTCTTTCATCCCAACTGCCTCAGCCTCTTAACCTCTAAGGATTTCTTCAGATCGTGATTTCCTAGAGGGGACCTTTCCAGGACCTGCAGTCATAGTTGTTGTGACTATAACAGACTATGACTGTCCTGCTCCTCCCCCCTTTGTTCTTTCATCTCCTCTGTCTGAGTTCTTGGTAAGTTTTGGGCCAGTATATTCTAGTTTCACAGTTAGTTTTTCATATCCTCGGTGACTTTCTTATCCGCCCTGACACTCGCCTAGTATAATACACATGTATAGCAAGTGTTTAGTGCATGTTTATCAGATTCCACTGCAGACCAAATGCCAGCAAGATGATGGGAGAAGGTCCTTTTGTGCAACATTTTTCAGTGTTTTCTTTTTGTAAAAGAAAAGGATTGGTTATATCAGCATTATGAGTATCCTATTCTATTGGTAGCAATTGGCTAGTGCTTAGGTCATTAGTTACTTTAGTGAATAGTCTGTTGGATAGAAGCGCAAACAGCAGTTTGTTTGAAAATTACTGACACCCTAAACATGTAAGAAACATTAACAGTCTTTGCCCTCTTGGAATGTGTGCATTTGATGTGCCCAAGATCAGTGACTCCACTGAGAACAAATAGTGAGAGAGCGAGGGGGACAGTCAGAGCTTTTGTTCTGCACAGCACCTGAAAGTACCATAAATGGATGGTGATCAAGCTGGTCAGGGGGTCAAAAGGCAATAAGCCTCGGCGCCTAAAGTTTGTTTGAGAATGTGTCCTCTTTTAAATAAACTTTTCATGTTTTTAAGTGGTACTTCCTAAACTACTTTTTCATGTTTTTAAGGATATTTTCAAATTCCAGCTATTTTGTGGGGGTGATTATTACTTTGACTTCTACTTATTGATTTTGAAATGTTTATTTTTTAAATTATGACACTCTGGGTGCCTCCGTGGTCATTGATTCATTCAGGTTGTATTCATATATAAACACTAAGATTTATGGAAAATCTTTTCATTTGAAAAAATTTTTAACATGCATTTCTTGGTTATGGGACCTGGAAATAACATGGTTTATTTCTGGGACTTGTTATAAAAGCTTCATATAAACCATCTACTGGTGTCCAGTTGGCTGAAGAATAATATTGAAGGCCCTCCTAGATGTTTCATTTCTTCTCAAAGACCTTAACAAAACTGCTTCCTTTTGAATTTCACACCATGTCTAAAATCAGGTTTTAAGAATTTTCCAAGTGCATTTCTCTACCACTTTACTTTATACTCTGCTCATCCCTTCTCTCTGCAGGCTTTTTAATACTTTCTGAGCAGCACTCAGGATATGTAGTTGATACAAGGTAGGGTGACAAGCAGGAAAGGCTTGAAGTAAAACTGGCAACTCAGCCCTGTGGAGTTGCCAGATGAGGGCAAGGTCAGCGAGAGCTGAGTGAGGAAATGTCGGGAACACCTAAAATAACTAGCACATCGGTTTTACAGGAGAGTTCCAGTTTTGAAGGAAATGATGTTTGAGAATTGTGAGGGAGGAAACGAGGAGCACATCCCAGAATGAAAGCAGCCTTGGCTGCTATGGGAAATAACAGGTGTCAGGGACTTTAGAACTCAGGGTCATTGTCAACTCCATTCCCCTTGGTTTTCAAGAGGTGTCCTCTCCTCAGTGCTCACTGAGGCCCCTCTTTTCCCGTCACAAACAAATCATGCCTTTTGCATGTCTTAGACTTTCTAGTCCATCCCACATAACATCACCAGGTTAATATCCTTAGAATTTTTATTTTCATTAGGTAATGATGAAAAACATGATGATGGAAAACTTCCAGAAACTTTCCATTTCCTGAAGATAAAGTAGTTTTTCCTCAGTCTGAAATTTAGGGAACATCATCATCTGATACCACTCACCTATGATGGTCTACATCTCATTTTTCCATGTTGGCACTAACCTGTCTCTTTAACTTCACTACCTCAAGTGTCCCCTGAGTAAATGATCTATTTTGCTGTATAACTCACCTTACCTTGGAGAGTCTTCCCCTCCTTGGTCTACCCATGCTTTAAGAACCAACTCAAGTCTCTTCTGAGACTTTCCATACAAATCTCTGTGGATATGGTTGTGTGATAATTTCTTCACAAATTTCATATGTGCCACCCATTTTTCTCATAAACAAATGTTGCCTTAAATGAAAAGTGATTGTTTTGTCTCTTCATCTGCATTGGAAGCTCTTTGAGACTAGTGACAATGCTATACGAGTTTTCTTCTATTTTAGCATCTCGCATAGCACTGTGCACCAATTCAGTGTAGGGCAGTGTTTCTTAGTCTGGCACCATCACATTTTGGGTTGGATGATTTGTTTTTGTAGGGGGTAATCTGAACATTGTAGGGTGCTTAGAACATCACTGTTTTCTACCTGCTAGATGCCAGTAGCACCCTCTCCCCGGCATGATAACGAAAATGTCTCTATTTATACCAGATGTTAGATAGGGGACAAAGATAGCCTCAGCTGAGAATCACTGGTATAGAGTAAACAGAATAAATTCTGACCAGTGTCTTGGCAGAAATGGAGGACTGTGAGAAGCGTTGAGTGATGTTTTACAGCATTTTGGAATCTTGAGGAAAGACAGACTCAGTTGATGGAAGATAATAATTGTAAAATAGAACTTCCTATTGGGTGTGATAGACCATAGCAAGGGTGCAACATACCTAGGATTGAGAGAGATCAAGATGAAGTTGATCTTAAGTTGAAGTTACAAAAATACTGTTATGAGTTTTTTATTTTATTTCAAACAATTTCATATTAGAAACCGCATTTCCAATAAAATAAATATTATTTAGTGAGAAATTTATCTGGAGTTCATACAAACTCCATATCTTTGGACTAAAAACCACTTTTGAAGCATTTTAGGGGGAATGAGTTTGAAATTACAGGTACAGGTTATTATAATGTAATTATTGACAAACATCAGTTGTGTTTATTCATAGTTTTACCTCTTGTTTTTTTTTTTTTACTACTTTAACATTGTACTTAAGTTTAACCAATTTTCCAGACCCAAGTGATACACACACACACTCTCTCTCTCTCTCTCTCTCTCTCTCTCTCCCCCCACATGTATGTGAAAGCATTTAGTCTTAAGAGTGCTTACTACACTCAGACATAGTGAATTTATATACTTCTGCTATTCTATTATAAGTTCTTGGTCTTCTCTTTTATTATCAAACTACTAGATGACATAGATACTATATGGTTGATGTTCAGCTGACCTAGAAGTAATGCATGAAATCCTCTCTTCACAGCTGTCTGCCAGCCACAGTGCAAACATGGTGAATGTATTGGACCCAACAAGTGCAAGTGCCATCCTGGATATGCTGGAAAAACCTGCAATCAAGGTAGGAAAACAAGCCTGACACAAATTGCAATCACAAGCCTCCTCTATTTCTGCCCAGTATAAGAATGACAAGTTCTCATGCCAAACTACTTTTCTGTGGCTGTTTTTTCTAAACGTGTGAGCTGCTGTGTTCTGAAAGATAAAAATATAATGTAAAACCTTAAAATGCATTTCATCAGAGGGTAATTAAAAGATCTTCATCCTTTTACTCACTGATACTAATTAAAATATGTATTTAAATAAGAGAAGCACACTGTCAGTTATATAGAAGCCTTCCATTCTGCTCATCCTTGTTCTTCCATGAACTAGTTGGGAAGCTCTGGCAAATTGTTAGCCTCCTTGGACCCCAGTGAGATGAAACCTCTTCAGTACTCAGAGTTAGGTAGGAAGTCTGACCTGAAATTTTGAGATCCCTTCAAACTCTGAGTCCTTCAGTTTTTGAGATTAAATTCCCCTCAACTGTTACCAGGTTGCAAAAGTTCCTTTGAGAAATAAAGATTTTGACCTATTTAAGTTGTCTATAAATGCAAATGTTTACTTAGCCCAGTGCCCCAGGTATTTTATATATATTATCTACTTTCATTATTACAATGTCTGGAGTAGAGTGTTATTTATGGTAATTAAATGATAAATAATAGCTTATTGTTATTTTTCACCTAAAGACATATCAGAGATGTTAAGTGTCTTGTCTAAGGTCACAGAATTAGTTGGTGAAAGACCCCGTATGTCTTTTTAGGACTTTTGGCCATATAATTCATGTTTTCTCTATCAATTTAGTTTTAGATGATGAAAATATTATTGCAAATGTGATCTTCTGACTCATGCTAACAAATCTGACAAGGTTTGTCATTTAAACCTGAACTTTCTATTATTAGGAGTAAAAAAAAAATAAAAGCTGGGGTTAGATTTCACCAGAGAGATACAAGGAGAAAAGAGTCAATTATTTACTTATTTCTTAAATTTACATAATATGTTCTATCCTTTTTAGTGTTGAATGAAACAATAACATGGGGCCTAACCGTCTCATAGATAACTTACTTGATTTCATCAGATAAGGAAATGATATTGTGGAAACACTCCTGTTCATCAGTATCTGATACTCCTTGATATGTCTCATGTAAACTCATGACTTATGGGCACAACAGTTCACAACATTCCAGAACACTGATGTTTGAAAGTATATGTAATTGTCCCTGAATTATCAGGGAAATCCATTCTAATGAAATGTGACATATCCAATGGTAGGAGAGATAGTTATTCTAAAGTATGTTCTGTATTATCTGTTATTTGATTAACTGTTTTTTTTTTCCAGTGTTTCTTTTATGTCTTAAAATATTTTTTAATTTGGAATTTACCAAACACACCTGGATGGTCTTTTTTTTTTTAATTTTTAATGTTTTATTTCTGAGAGAAAGAGAGACAGCACGAGCAGGCGAGGGTCAGAGAGAGAGGGGGACACAGAAGCTGAAACATGCTCCAGGCTCTGAGCTAGCTGTCAGCACAGAGCCAAATGCGGAGCTTGAACCCACGAACCGTGAGATCATGACCTGAGCCAAAGTTGGACACTTAACCGACTGAGCCACCCAGGCGCCCCTCCATATACTCTTTTAAAAATCCGTTTGATTTTCCTTCCAAGTCCAATTTTGCAAGTTGTGACATGTTCAGTTCTGATTATTGGGTTATCAATAATCTTAGAGTTCCCATATGCTTCCTTTCTTAAAGTGGTAAACATAAACTATCAGAGGTTTCATCGATATGTCAGTACCATAAAACTTTGTAGTCCTGATGCCAGGAATTTATACAAAGAAGGTTATTATAAGAAGCCACTGTTGAGATTGCAGAGAAATTCATTCAAATTTATTTTCAGGAACTACATCAGCTTTAATATGCTTCAAAGACACTGAAACTATTATTGTCACAAGGATTTATCTCTGGCTGTCTCCTACTTTCAGAAAACTAGTTTATCATGTACTTTTTATTGTAATACATACCTGTTTCTCTAAAGAAAAATTGAAGTTTACGGAGTTGAAATCTTGCCTCCTAAAACTATATTCCTTAGGGGGAAAGAGCATTTCATTAGTAGCAAAATGGGATTTTATACCAACAAAAAATAGTGCAGACACTGAAAATGTAATTTCAAGTCCAATCTTGAATATAAAACCACAGCTTACAGTAAACATATGTGTTTTTGATTATCTCTTTCTTCACTTTCCTTACCAAAAAAGCAACTGTGACACGGTTCCCAATGGTGTGGTTTATCATGGTCTTTGAGAGCAGGAATCCTTTTTGGCCTCTGATTTCTGGGCTCCTGAAAACTATTATTAAAATGACTTGCACACACTAAGTGCAAATTAAGTATTTGCTAAGTGAATGATTGTTTCATATAATGGCTCTTGGTCCTGAACACCATACCCGTAAGGGCTCCATGCAGTTGCCCGTTCCAGCACCACAGGCAGCGCCTGAATCTGTGGGCTGAGAGCCCTCGTCAGGGTCAGAGGTGGCTGTAGAGGAGCTGGGTACATGGGAGAACTGGCCAGAGAAACCAGGAAACGATATTAGAGCAGATTGTCTCTGTTACACAGCAAATTAATGTAGACTGTTTTTAACTGGACTGTACATTTTAATAAACTGGCAAATATGCCTCAGAGATATGGGAACTCCAACATTTCTTTTTTCTTGAGGAGAGAAATGTCAAGAAGAGGTATATTTGAGATAATTTCATCGAACTAGGAATTAGCTCTTCCTAAAAAGTAGGTTTCTGTGTAAGGCAAGTACTTGCTGAAAAAAAAAAAAATTGATTGGTGGAGTGACAAGCATTTAAGAGTGCTTTCAGAGCTGCCTGGGGGGCAGCCAGAATAGCCAAGCAAGCCCACTTTGCAACTGGCTTAATTTAACAGCCTTGTCACAAGATTGGTGTGAATCTGCTGGTGGTGGCTTGCTCTTTCCTCTGAGTCATTTTTGGATTTGCGATAGCTGGATCACATACAGAATCATAGGCTTGGTCTGATTATTAGCATATTCTGTACAGCACATGGTGCCTTTCACAGTAATGAAATGCTACCCCGAACTCTGGCAAGGTTTGCTTTTCTCCACCTTCTTTCTCTGGTAATTTTTATTCATGCATACTTTCCTCCTCTTTGAGTCTCTGTACCCATACCAAGTCTCTTTCCCCTCAGCCCAAACACGATACTGTTATACATAATAATCTTTTTATGACTTTCCCATTAGGAAATGATTTTTATCATGTAATATGTCCTATCATTGCATATTTTCAGAAATGAAAGATCTATGTTTTTGAATGCAAGAGGGTGAGCGTGCTTACAACCAGAGCCATGGCTAGGGTTAGGGTTGGCAACCAGGAAGTGCCATGGGCAGAACCAGCCACAATGCAGTGATTCCCTGAAGGGCTGAGTTGAGGGCACATGGTTGGGTGTGGGTCAGGCTTAGGGTTTGGAGTCAGGAGGCAGAAGATTCAATGGATCAAGGTTAGGTAAGTTCTTCTGATCACCCCTTTGCAGCCCCATCCCGGCCCTGGAAATGGCAGCACAAAATTCTAGCTTATATTAAGGGCTTATAATAATTTCAGAAGAAACAGTTTATAAATATCAATTCCTGGTGTTTTGACAAAGTTTATGTTTCATATGTTGAATTCCTCACCCCAGGAACTAGTATCTTGTAGCACAGAACCAGACAGTAAACTTTGGTGGCTTAGGTAAATCTGAAAGTTGATTGCCTTCCCAAGGACAGCAGTCTAAATGCTATACCCCTGAGTAGTAAGGTAATTTCTGATAGCCTTACTTTTTAAAAGATGTGTGGTTTCAACCCAGAAACCATTGTTCATTTAATTTGGAAGTTTAACTGGGTGTTAATAGTATGGAAGTCTTGAAGCAAGATATGATTGCCTTTTTGACTCTACTTTTGAGTCTTACCCATCTTATTTTGGTAAGTTAATAATGCCAAGAGTTAACCTCTTTTGGGGAAAGCTTATTGTATATTCCTACTAAGTGTGACCTAAATGTAATATAAGTTCTTACACGTGAATGAAAACATCGATATTGGTCATGCTATTTATTTAAACAAGCTCTATGCAAATCATAAATTTGTGCATAATTGTGAAGTATTTTAAACTATTGGACAACATAATAATAAAACAGTCTTGAGTTGGACATTTAAGACTTAAGTGTCAATACACAGAATAGGTAGATTGTAATCAGTATAATCTGTTTTCTGAGCTTTCTGTCTTTGTTGGTGACCAAAATCATGCTTTAAAAAATGACCATCTCTTCTTTAGTGGTTTCTCTAAAGATTGGTATAGGAATGAAATATGTGTGTATGCATGTGTGTAAAATGTACTTGTGTTCTTGGGAGGCAAGATGGCAGTGATAAATTTTAAGGAAAATAGAAATTAAAATTTTAAAAAGAGAAACCAGAAGAACAAACTAATTTTTTAAAAAGCATGTACAGTATCCTTTTGGAAATCTACCAACTTTATGTAATTGTCTAATATATACTTATAAAGATTTTTAGGGCTAAAAATGACATCCGTTCAAAGTTGACTCTTATTACCTTCTTCCTGGTGTGAAGACGAACACTTCTACCCAACTCCTCTTGACCAAGGCAGCGAACAGCCTCTTTTCCAACCCCCGGATCATCAAGCCACAAGTTTACCTTCAAGGGGTGAGCGTGCATTATCTCAGGTGGTCTGCCCTCCCACCTGCACGGCTTCCTGCAGTTTCGTCACTTTTTGCAAATGTCCTGAAGACTAGCCCCAGGAGTGCCCAGCCTTCAGCACCCTGAGCATGTGAAGCAAGCAGCAGGAATTGCCACCTGGTGCTGATTCTCTGTGCTCTAAAAAGCCTGGAGCCTCCACTGTCCTTTCACTGCATTAAAAATATCATTGCTTCTCTTCTTCTTTTCTGGGCTTCAGAATGTTTTCTAAAAATCAAATGGCAAAATAACCTTTATTTTCAAAGGTGAAATCAGGAATTCCAAAGCAACTGATATTGGACTTTTGATGACTTTTGCTGAGTAGATTTCAGAAATGATGAAGTCCTTCCCCATGCCCCCACCATATTTAGAGAATAGAGTGTTAGGTTACCTGGAAATCAAACCATACATTATTCATTTAATTCCTTTGGTGTACATTTTGTGATATTAGAAAGCCTAGGTTCTAGTTCAGTATAGCCTTTAAGTGGCTCTGTGATTATGAGCAAGTCATTTAGTGTGTCTGAGTCTTAGCAAGCCAGTTAGTAATGGGAGAGTAATTTCTGCCCTGTTCACCTGCAGGGCTGGTGTGGGAACAGGCATACCAAAGATATTAATGTTTTCATTATGATGGAAAGTTTTGTACAAAAATTAGGTGGCAGCATGATTTTATAGTTTTTCTTCTAAAGGACTGTATCCTTTACCCACTCCTAAATTTAGAAACCTAGAATGACTGAATAAAAATAGTTTAAATTATTAATTAGTGTCTCTCTGCAGATAGGAACTTAATGCACTTGTGTATCTTCTGCGTAAAGAATTAGGGCAATAGCATTCGTTTCAACCATTGAGTTTTAAAGAATGAAAGTTATGGCAGTTGAATGACTGACATCTGTTTGCCTATGACCTCCACTTTCGTCAGATAAAATGTAAAAATAAAGGTTAAATTTCTGAGACTTGCCAAATTTAAGGGTCAAAGAAGAAGAAAAAAGTCCCACTGTATTAAATAATGAAAGATTATTTTCCTTAATAATCCATTGGGTTATCTATTCAGTGAATCTATTCTAGGTTTCAGGCTACTTTTCAGTGTCTGCATGCTAACAAAAAATTTCTGATTCTTTTTTTCCTACAGTGTAATTATAATGCTGTGCAGCTTGCATTTTTGTTCTAGACTAGCTCTCTTCCTACTCCCCCTTCCACTCCCCATCCCACCTCCCCCAGCTCCTGAAACCATCAACCTACTTAAAGATATTCCTCACTGTAATAGATGTGCTTTAAGAATTCATACGTGACAATTAAAGCATCTGAAATCTAAGTGGTTTAATTGTAAAGTGATGTCTTTTGAGGTGATAAAATAGGTACATGACAGAATTCATTAATTTTTTATTGTAGAGTTTCCTTATAATTTATATTATAAACTTCTAGAGAAAGCGCAACTTTAAAGTGAATTTAAGTAAATACATTGAAGTTTTCTTTCCTAGGTTCTTTTATCACCTTTAAGACTGATTTGAGAACGTGTGATCATGTTCTTTATATTTTTCTACTTGTTATAGGAGAATTTGCTATAAATTGGAAGTGTTGTTTTTGAATTCCTGACTTGATAGTAACACACGTGTTCCTAGGTCAGTAGTCTAAGAGATTTTGGAAGCAGCACATGTTAACTCAATTTTATAAGGCCTTAGTTCAATAAGAAAATAAAGCTATAATAATCATAAACTAGAGACCCTGAAGAAAATGGAGAAAAAAGAAGTTCATCACCCCAGCACCAGATGCTTTTAATCTTTTGAAGCTCCCTGCTTTAGCAGAAGTCTGATACTTGGTAAATATTGATAACACGGATTATTGTGGAATTCTATTTCATAATTTCTGCAGTGGCTTTCGTAAGGGTCAGTGTGAAGTTTTTAGGACGCACATGCCTGTAGCAGATGGAGCAATGGTGGCAGTCATTGGAGACATCAACATCAGCCAACTGTCAGGGGGTATCAGCCACTCCATCACCAGCTGTTAAGAGTACAGCTTTCTCAAATTGCTTTTAACGTATTTGGATATTTACGTGTCAATTTAATAATAGTAAAATAGCCAACAAATGTGTCTGCATTTACCCATCAAACGCCGCATGTTTATTTCCCTTCCATATTATTTCATAGAGTGATTTCCAGGTGGGGGATTTGTTTTTGTTTGTTTTTGAATTATGACATCTTGTTTTTCACTTCCTTTCAGTTTCATGATTCTTAACCCTAGCGTACTTTTTTCTCATGGGAAGGGAAGGATAAATTTGGACTGAAGACCACCAGCAGCCCCAGTCTGGATCACAAAAACTCCCATAGCAATCTTGAGGGGCCCTTTATTGGCCAAGACTGGAGCTGCCATAACTTGGCTTCAGCTTTAGTTCCTGGACAGAGTGTCTAAAGAAATTTCCATCAGCATAAATATCCTTTGTATGAGCTGCTTAGAGCTACAAACATCTGGCCAGCTTCCATCAAAAACCCACAGAAGTTTCTGTGGCTCTTTAAAAATAAACCTAAGTGTTCTTAATTGATACATTTTATATCCATCAATATCTTTCCCTTGAAATATAGAATTCAGTCTTACTTTATGGCTTTACTGTACTGTTTATTTTTTTAAAATGTTTATTTTTGAGAGAGAGAGAGACAGAGACAGAGTGTGAGCAGGGGAGGGGCAGAGAGAGAGGGGAAGACACAGAATCTGAAGTGGGCTCCAGTCTCTGAGCTGTCAGCACAGAACTCAAAAGTGGGGCTTGAATTCATGAACTGCCAGATCATGACCTGAGCTGAAGTGAGATGCTTAACCAACTGAGTCACCTAGGTGCCCCGTTACTGTTCTGTTTTATATTTGCTTAGTGCAGAAAATATTTAGAACACAAAGCCTTTCTCAAACAACATGCTCAGATTTAAATACTATTTAAAGTTTTATTTTTAAATTTTAAATGTTTTTATTTATCTTGAGGGGGTGGGGCAGAGAGAGAGGGAGAGAGAGAATCCCAGGCAGGCTCCATGCTGTCAACACAGAGCCCGATGCAGGGCTGGATCTCACAAACTGTAAGATCGTGAACTGAGCCAAAACCAAGAGTCACGTGCTTAACCCACTGAGACACCCAGTACCCCTAAATACTATTTCATATCATTCAGGAGCTTATCAAATCCAGGCGTGAAACTGCAGGGATGTATGGTTATATTAGGATGATAATTAACTTCTCTTAGAACATGAGAAAAGATTTCCTGACTCTAATTTTTAGTAAATACTGAAATACAAGTTAGAATATGATAGGTGGAGTGAATTGCTTTTTCTTTCTTCCTTGATTTAAAATTTTTACTTCATATAATGGAGAAGTCAAATTTTTGGTTGACCATATAATCTGCAAGGCACCTTCTTTGAGGAAATTTTTTAAAAATGTATTTTAAATATGATTCTGTTTTGAATGCCCTTGACTGGGCATGAGACAATAAAGTAGAAAATTGAGGAAACATGGGAGATGGTGAAAGTATCTGGTTTACTTATTTAACCTCCCTAGGCTTTGCCCAACTGGGGACCTGCTCACTGTTGTGTTAAGGTTAGAAAAAAGACCACATTGGAAAGTTAGTAAAATATGAAAATATTTGTAGATGTAATAACTATTAAGTGGTTTTAAGAGCAATCTAATTTGGTGGTTTAATGAAATGAAATCTATAAACTTCCAATAAATGAGCAGGTCAGATTTAAATTTGACTAGATTAAACAACTTGTCGCTAGACAGACCTCTATTTCTGACTTGCTGACATGGATTAATAGATAATTTATCTAATCAGGTACTTAATGCTGACAGTTCCAGACAAAATAAACATGTGGTCATATTTATTTTTAATGAAGTCTATATTTTGGGCATTGGTATTTCAGTGTCTGTCATTATGAGTTTTATGTTCACTTGAAGCAGTATTCAGCTTCGGTTAGAAAATTCTTACAGTGTGAAGTTTATTAATTTCATGTTGATATTTAAATGAACCTAAAATACATAATAGTCCATTATGTATCATCCAGTAGTACTTACATATACTTTTCTTAACTGCCAAATGAAAATATGTTGGAGGGTAGGGTTTTTTTGTTTATTTTGTGGCTTGAATACATCAGTAAAGCAGGAAACAAATGTCTTACTTAATCTGAGATCAGTGTAGAGAATCTATAAAGTGGAATAAGAGAAACCACAATAGTGATCACAGTAATTCATGTAGCTCTTATCCTCTGAAAATGGAGCTTTCCTTTGTAAAGGTCAAAGCAGGCTCATGTTTTAAAATTCGTATACTTCCTGTAAACTAAGAAAGACTCACAGAGTATCTTTAAAAGCAGAAGGAAGTTGAAAGAGGAAGATCACATAGTCAGAAGTGAAGCTAATAGTAAACCTAGATTTTTGGAAGCTATTGCAGTCAGGTAGATCACCCATGGGGAGGATAGTAGTCTGCTTTCTAGGGATGATAAGGTAGGCACGTGTCTGTGAGGAGAATTTTTCCAATTGTCCTTTGTGGACAGAGACCACAAGTCCTCTGTAATCTAAGCTCCCGAAATTCACATAGCCCTCTCATTGTTATAAGGTCATTTCTGATGAAAAGGTCTTGGTCACCCCTGGTGTAACCAACATTAAAATTAAGATGGTATAAACAGGCTGTGTCTCTTATGTAAATAACTGGTTACAGTAGCTTGACCTCCTTTTTTCATTTATTCTTTAATATCGAGAGGTGTTTTAAATGGTTTACGTTAGTATCAAGGTTTTCTCATTTTGCTGCATCATCTCCCCATTCTTTCCAGATCTAAATGAGTGTGGCCTGAAGCCGCGACCCTGCAAGCACAGGTGCATGAACACTTACGGCAGCTACAAGTGCTACTGTCTGAACGGATATATGCTCATGCCAGATGGGTCCTGCTCAAGTATGTCAAGAATCTTAACTGTTTTATAAGTGCTCTGGCTCGGTTTCACATTGTGCTCTGATAGGGTGTGTGAAAATAGCCTCCCAGGCCGCCTTAACCACGATGTGAGCATGTATTTATATGCATGCCTAAGGAATGGAAAATCAAAATAAAAATTGCCCATTTTACTTGGCTAGCATTATTTTACCATGGGCGCCCATGTTAAACCCATGGAAGTAGTATTTAGAACACGCATCGTACACCTACATGTGTTTTCTAATGCCTTTTTTATTCCCCCAGCACATTTTTCCTGTCTTCTGTCTAAGCAAGGAACTAACTGCTCTAGCTGGTAAAGGAGGATTAGTGCCTATGTGAGGACTGTGTTGCTGTTCACAAGGACAGACACTAAACTGTTAGCTGGTAGAGGATCTATCACAGGACCCAATACTTATTGAGTATAAACCATTCATAAATACCTTCTCACTTTGCCTTTACATTTCTTTATAGTAGTCTAAAGACTCAGATACCACTTTTCTAAAAAACAAAATCTACTTCAACTGAAAAAAATAAGTGGTTACAATACCATAAAAGTAGATTTCATGTATTATGTTTTCCTACTATCATTTGGATGTGGTTATAGGATAGACAATGCCCTGAAGTTTTCCGTAAGCTGAACATTGAATTGAGATGGTGTTTATATGAGATCCGACCATTGATGGCTTGATTTTCATTTTTACTGAGTTATCTGGTAAGTTAGTTAATTATAAATTATCTGTTATCTCTCTCTAACTGGGTTGAGTTTTATTTAAAAAGTTGAGCTAATCTTATTTAGCATTGCATATGTAGCACGGAACCTTTAGAAGTAGCTGAATTCGTGTTTAATACTATGTGGCAGTGATGCTAGAATTGTACATTGTACATTGTACAACTCGGTGGGATGTCTCCCGTTCCAGAATAATTTAGTGGGAGATTGAGAAAATTAATTGGATGTTTTAGTTAAAACTGGCATTTGGCATGAGTAATCTAGAAAATTACCTCAATCCTGCACTTTTCTTGGTTACTGGAAAAGTTTCCAGATAATCTGTGTGAGATGAAGTTTTATATTTGTCTTTTAATTTTTTGTAATGCATTAAAGATTTCCCCAGATGATAACAGAGCCGGTTTACTTCTTAATCTTCTTGATCCCTGGTAGAGTAAGGTCTTTCTGTCCCTCTGTTTTCGACGGTCTTTAGACTGTTGGATAATTGAGGCCTTTTTGTCTTCATTGTTGATTCAGTGTCAAGTTAAAAAAAACATTCGCCCTCTGCCTCTCTGAGTCAGCCAGTCACACTCTTTCCAGGTGCCCTGACGTGCTCCATGGCAAACTGTCAGTATGGCTGTGATGTTGTCAAAGGACAGATACGGTGCCAGTGCCCCTCTCCCGGCCTAGAGCTGGCTCCTGATGGGAGGACCTGTATGGGTGAGTTGTAAAATCGAGCATCTCTGTCAGCAGCTTCTCTAGGATAAAAGAACAGAGGGAAACGTGATGGAGTAAGGAAACGAGGCATTACCTACATCAGGCAATTAGCTGTTCTTCCGAAGATAGCACGTGTCTTGGGAGAGGACCTCTCTGTGAATGGTTGATGGACACTTTGTTTCCCTAAAAATGAGGGACGGGAGGAATCTTCGGGCAGAGGAAACCACATGTGCAAAGGCTTTGAAGTTTACTAGAGCACGATATTCAGGAAAGGCAGAAGAGCTCAGTATTTTTAGAATGTTAAGAAGGAATGAGTGATAAAGCTGAATGGGTAGGCAGGGCTGGATTATCTGTGCTGCTCTAAACAGATTTTTTTTTCCTGTAAATTAGGAAGACAGTATAGGATTGTGGTTAACAGTCTGGGCTTTGATTTCAAACCTAGCTCTGCCATGTGCTTGATACTGTAACCTTAGGCAAGAGACTTCCTTTGTTTGAGCTTGAGTCTCATCTTTAAAATGGGAGTCATGCCATCTAGAACCATTATAAGGATTGAATGGGATTATATATGCAAAGGGCTGAGCAGAGTACCTAGCATGTAGTACTCCGTCAATGAATAGAGGTATTCAGTGATTCCAGAGAGATTTGTTTAGTACTTTCTGTATTTCAGGTGCTGTGCCAAGTGCTAGGATATATAGCAGGGAACAGAGCAGACAAGATTTTGGTCCTCATAAAGCTGATACTCTCATGGGAAGACAGAAAATTAACAAATATCCAATAAAATTGGGCAAACAATATTAAATGTTAACATGAGGTACTAAGAGAACAACATAAAAGGCCTATTTTAGAAAATAATGGTAGAAATGGTGCAAGGCAATTCTGCACTGAACGAAGAGAGGCTGGCCTATGTGAGGTTTAGAAGGAAAGAAGACCAATGTGGCTTCAGTACAGAATGAGTGTGAGGGGCAGTGGCTCACCTCCTGGTGAGGTAGGTAAGGACTACATAGTTATTGCAGGTTATTCACTCACATTGTGAGGAATGAGGATTTAACTCAAAAAGCAAGCAGAAACAGTTGAGGAGTCTTAAGCATGGTAATACTCCAATCTTAATGTTTTAACAAAAGATTTTGACAGTTGAGTGGGAATGCTTTGGGGCGGTGAGGTTGGCAGGGAAATGACTGATTCCAAGGCTCTTGCCATAGTCTAACTGAGACGGTGGCAGCTTGGACTAGGGTAGTGGTAGTGGGTGAAGAGAAGACTAGTAGCAGAAGACAAGAGGTAGAATTAACTGGGCCTGATGATTTGAGATTATGGGGAAATGAGGTGGTCAAGGATGCCTCCTATTTCCAGTTGGAGCAACTAGTGGATACAGGTGCAGTCTCTGCTGAGATATGGTGCAAGAGCAGCACAACTCTGGTTCGGAGGATGCATTGAAGTTTGGAGGTGTGGAATTTACATTGCCTATCGGGGTAACCAGCTGGATAACATTTATGATGAGCCACTCTGTGCCAGGCAACTGTGTGCAGACATTTATTTCAAAATCCATCCCATCTGAACGTGCTATGCTGCTCCTCTAAGATGCGATTGATTTATGTTTCTAGATGTTGATGAATGTGCCACTGGAAGAGCATCCTGCCCTAGATTTAGGCAGTGCGTCAACACTTTCGGGAGTTACATCTGCAAGTGTCATAAAGGCTTCGACCTCATGTATATTGCAGGCAAATACCAGTGTCACGGTAATGAGCCCTGACCATCGTTTTGTTTTGTTTTCTTTCTTCCTGGTGGTACAGAAAGTTCTCTTAACTGGGGTGGTGACTGGGATGTCAGAGAAAGGGGAGGGGAACCGGCATTACATTAAGCAGAGGTCCAGTTCAACTACTGGTAGTCTTGGATGTACATGTGCTTTGTTTCTCCCATTTATCTGCTGATTTTACACAGACCTTTCAAAAAAATTTTATTTGGAGACTCTACAGAGTTTTGATGCCATCATACTCCTCTCCCAAATAAACTCCTTCTTTTCCCACTTCCTGATGCAGATATAGATGAATGCTCCCTTGGTCAGTATCAGTGCAGCCGCTTCGCTCGATGTTACAACGTGCACGGGTCCTACAAGTGTAAATGTAAAGATGGATACCAGGGTGATGGCCTGAGTTGTGTGTGTAAGTAGTGCTTATCTCCCACCTTTAGATTCTAGCAGGAAATACAGGATTACACAGAGGCCATTATTGGGGAAGATGAGGAACAAGATTAATTATCATGAAAGTATAATTTTTATGGCTAAAATATTAGTCTGTTTTTTGCAGTCAAATCACTTTGCTCAGGTATTTTAAAAAAATAAAGACTCAGTAATACATTCTCTCGCTCTCTTTTTTTTTTTAACATTTATTTATTTTAAGAGAGAGAGCATGAGCAAAGGAGGGGCAGAGGGAGAGAGAATATCCCAGGCAGGCTCTGCACTGTCAGTACAGAGCCCACAATGGAGTTTGATCTCCTGAACCATGAGATCATGACCTGAGCTGAAATCAAGAGTCAGACGCTTAACTGACTGAGTCACCAAGGTGCCCTGACTCAGTAATACATTCTAATCTTAAAAACATTCAATTCCTTTGCTAAAACCTCTCAATAGCCTCTGTTTGGCTCACAAGAAATTATGGAGCTCTCTCTGAGAATCGGATTTTGTTATAATTAGAAATAAAAGTTTGTCATTAGCATTAGATTGTGACAGGGAGAAAAGTCTGAATATATCCTACATCTTTTGTTCCTCTGTTTTATGTCTCTAAATTCTACTATTAAAAAATCATTCTGATATTTATTTTCTCTAAATTTAGAACTGTTTTGCTTTTTAAATTCTTATAAGCTCTGCTTGGAATATGGCTATGTTAGTAGATAAACATGAAGAAAATAAGCTCCAGGATGAAAGTTTTACAAATTAAAGACCATAATTTTGGATACAGTTCATGTGACAATAGATAATTTTTAAATTTTGGGAGTAAAATATTTACCAAAAATCATGAGTCATAAAATCATGTGGATTAAGGGATTTTTGAAGGGTCATGTAGTCATACTCCCAGCCTGGAGTGTATCATTCCAGAAAGATTAAATATTAATTCCTTTTGGTGAAGATAATCACAAAAAAAGATTCCACAGATAATCACAGTGACCTCTGAATTTTTTTAAGTGATTGTATAAATTAGTAAGGGGGAAAGCAAAGCAACTTTAAAAATATACAGAGCAATTAACGAAAATATTTTGCACGAAAACAGATGAACATATGGGAAGGATGTAGAAAGAAGATAGAGGGAAACTAACCCAAGAGACTCTTAGTGATAGTGAACAAACTGAGGATTGACAGAGGGAAGTGGTGAGGAATGGGCTAGGTGGGTGATGGGTACTAAGGAGGGCACTTGTGATGAGCACTGGATGTTGTTAAGTGTTGAATCACTGAAATCTGTTCCTGAAACCAATATTGCCCTGTATGTTAACTAAAATTTAAAGAAAAATAAGAAAGGAAAGAAAGAAAGAAATGTTTTGCATGAGTTAATTTACATACAGTATGGAAAAGTATTAGTCTTTAGACAATTTGAAACATGATTTGATAATATAGGTGTACTATAGGGATACTTAACATAGACTCTCACACATTTCTCATATTTAAAAAACCTAGAATGTTTCTGCTTTTAAAAAATCTCAGTGATTGTTGTCTAGTTCCGTTTTACAGATACTTGAAATTCTTTGTGTTTTAAATACTACATATCCATTACAGAAATACTATATAACTTTTGCATATATCTGCAGGGTGGATATGTGTGCATATGAATTCATATGTATAAATCAGATACATATACACACATAGTTATTTGGAAAACAGCTTGACTTACAGTAGGGGAATATTCTAAGTGTGAAAAGTAAGCCTACTTGGCATTAGATATTCTAATGTGTTTTTCACAATTTGATTCCACAACTGAACTTTTTTTTTTTAATTTTTTTTTAATTTATTATTTCTAGGAGAGAGAGAGACAGCGTGAGCAGGGGAGGGTCAGAGAGAGAGGGAGTCACAGACTGAAACAGGCTCCAGGCTCCGAGCTGGCAGTCAGCACAGAGCCCGATGCGGGGCTTGAACCCACGAACGTGAGATCATGACCTAAGCAAAAGTCGGACGCTTAACCGACTAAGCCACCCAGGCGCCCCTCCACAACTGAACTTTTAATATTTATTTATTTTGAGAGAGAGAGCACACACCCAAGAGAAGGGGGAGAGGGTTAGAGAGAGAGGGAGAGAGAGAATCCCAAGCAGGTTCTGCTGTGTCATTGGAGAGCTCGACGTTGGGCTCGAACTCACAAACTGTGAGATCATGACCTGAACTGAAATCAAAAGTCAGATGTTTAACCAGATTAGCCACCAAGCGCCCCTCCACAGCTAAAGTTTTAGAGAGAGATGGCTACACAGTAACTTAAATTTTTGACTCTTTCAGATATTCCAAAAGTCATGATTGAACCGTCAGGTCCAATTCATGTACCAAAGGGAAATGGTACCATTTCAAAGGGTGATGGAGGACACAGTAATTGGATTCCTGATGTTGGAAGTACTAGGTGGCCTCTGAAGACACCATATGTTCCTCCTGTTACCAGTAGGCCCACTTCTAAGCCAACAACAAGACCTACACCAGAGCCAACACCACAGCCTACCCCACCCCCATTCCCAGACCTCAGAACATCTCCACCAATAGTAACCCCGGAAAGACCAAGCACCAGACTAACAACTGTACCGCCAATTGCCACGACATCTCCACGATGGATTACAGTTGACAACAGGATACAGACAGATCCTCAGAAGCCCAGAGGAGATGTGTTCAGTAAGTCATATAAATGTTAGCACAGTTTGGAGTTTTTATTGAGTTTTATTGAGCTATAATTGACATACAGCACGATATAAGCTTAAGGAATACAGCATAATGGCTTGACTTACATAAATCAAGAAATGATTACCACAGTAAGTTTAGTTAACATCCATCATCTCATATAGGTACAAAAGAAAATTTTTTTTTTCTGTGATGAGAACTCTTAGGATTTACTTTCATAACAACTTTCATATAAATCCTATAGCAGTGTTAACTGTAATAATAATATTTTATTTCCCTAGTACTTATTGATCTTCTTAACTGGAGGTTTGTACCTTTTAACTACTTTCCTCCAGTTCTCCCTCCCCTACTCACCACCCCTGGTAATCACAAATCTGATCATTTTCTGTAAGCTGTTTTTTAAGATTCTCCATATGGTATGTGAGGTTATATAGTATTTGTCTTTCTCTGACTGACTTGATTTGGCATAATGCTTCAAGGTGCATCCATATTGTCTCAGATGGCAAGATTTTCTCATTTTTTAAGGCTGAATTGTGTATATGTTCCATTGTGTATTTATACCACAGCTTCTTTATCCATCCATCCATTGATAGACATTTAGGTTGTTTCCATATATGGCTTTTGTAAATAATGCTGCTAGGAACATGGGGTAGAGATATTTTGACATGGTATTTTCATTTTCTTTCGATGAATACCCAGAAGTGGAGTTAGTAGATCTTATGGTAGTTCTAGTTTTAATTTTTTGAGGACCCTCTGTACTGTTTTTCCATGGTGGCTGCACCAATTTACAATCCCACCATCAGTGCTCAAGGGCTCTCTTTTTTCCACCTCTTTGCAAGCATTTGTTATCTCTCGTCTTTTTGATGGTGGCCATTCTAACAGGCACGAGGTGGTATCTCACGGCAATTCTAAGTTGCGTTCCCCTAATAATTAGTGATGTTGAGCCTCTTTTCATTTGGCAGTTGCCCATGTGTGTGTCCTTTTTGGAAGAATATCTATTCATGACCTGTGTCCATTTTTATTTGGATCATTTGGGTGTTTTTCCTGTTGAGTTGTAGGAGTTCCCTGTATATTTCAGACATTAACCCCTTCATAGATACATTGTCTACAAATATTTTTCTTCAGTCCATAGTTTGTCTTCACTTTGTTGATGGTCTCTTTTGCTGTGCAGAAGCTTTTCAGTTTGATGTAGTCCTAGTTGTCTTTTATTTTATTGCTTGTGCTTCAGGTGTTGTATCCAATATGATCATTGCCAAGATCCATGTCAAGGAAATTTTTCCTATGTTTTCTTCTAAGAGTCTCATAGTTTCAGATAGTACATTCAAGTATTTAATTAATTTTGAGTTCATTTTTGTGTGTTGTGTAAGATAAGGGCTCAGTTTCATTGTTTTGCATGTGAATATCCAATTTTCCCAGCACCATTTATCTAAGAGACTGTCTTTTCTCCATTCAGTATTCTTGGTTTGCTTGTCAAATGTTAGTTGGCCGTATGTGCTTCAGTTTATTTCTGCATATAAATTTTATTCTGTTTGTTGGCATATCTGTTTTATGCCAACACCACACTGTTTTGATGACTACAACTGTATAGTATAGCTTGAAATCAGGCAGAGTGATGCTTCCTGCTTTGTTCTTCTTTCTCAGGATTGCTTTAGCTACTCAGAAACCTTTGTGTTAGCACATTTTTAATAAGCTCTTTACAACGACATTTCAGTCATAGGCCATGCCTTGAATAAGAATGAAACTTATTAAAAGTATTATCTGTACAAAATATAAGTCATATGTCATTATTGTTAAATATTATAAAGAACTGTGTAAAAGGCAATCAGTGGGGCAAATAACAATGTGTGTAGCAATGACAGAAATATCATGAAGTCGTATAGTAGGTCATAGCTCCTATCCAGTGTCAGAATTCTCCTAATGTGTTCAGATTTACTGAAAAATCTCTGAGATGAGAAACTTACTGTATCAGTGGCATTTAGCTTAATCTAATCATTCATTTAATCAACAAACATTTTTGAGTGTGTTTTAGAACACCAGGCCCTGTATGAGGCATTAGATTTACAAAGATAAGACAGAAAATGTATATTCTGTTGGGAAAGATAGTCGCCCCAAGGATAGATAACTGGAGTAGTGTGTTGGTGAGAGAGATTTGTGTAGCACGTTATGGAAATAGAAGAGGCATCTAATCAGCCTTGAGGCAGGGCATATTTGGGGTGGGAGGGCTTCCAGAGTGAAAAGGAGTAGGAAGCAGCCTAGCCTAGGCAATAAAGTGCCAGTAAACTAGAGGGTTGAGTCAACGATTGAGGAGAAAACTAGACAGCTACCCTTTCTGTTTGCTGTGATCTGGTGGTTGGATCTGGAGTCTTTCTCCTAGATTATCAGGGGTGAGTGGGTAAAGGATAGTGTCACATAGAGATAGAGGCTAGAGATAAAATAGCAAGTTCTGAAGAAGGAAGAGGTTCCCTTATTACCAGATCAGAATGTGCAATTTAAAAAAAAAATTTTTTCATGTTTATTTTTGAGACAGGGAGAAACAGAGCATGAGTGGGGGAGGGGCAGAGAGAGAGAGGGAGACACAGAATCTAAAGCAGTCTCCAGCCTCTGAGCTGTCAGAACAGAGCCCGACACGGGGCTTGAATCCACAAACCGTGAGATCATGACCTGAGCCGAAGTCAGATGCTTAACCAACTGAGCCACCCAGGCCCCCCCAGAATGTGCAGTTTTCTTTCTTTTTTTTTTTTTTTTAATTTTTTTAACATTTTATTTATTTCTGAGAGAGAGGGACAGTGTGAGCAAAGGAGGGTCAGAGAGAGAGGGAGACACAGAATCTGAAGCAGGCTCCAGGCTCTGAGCTAGCTTCCAGCATAGAGCCTGACGTGGGGCTTGAACCCACAAACTGTGAGATCATGACCTGAGCCGAAGTTGGACGCCCAACTCACTGAGCCACCCAGGCGCTCCCAGAATGTGCAGTTTTCAAATACTCACCTCGTATTTATCCATTTGTCACATCTCACAGTGCTTATTCTTAGCCACCTTTGTGTTCACTCCTCCTGTCTTCTCTTCTCTCCCAGTACTAGTTTCTTTTCCTTTTCCCATTCCTCCATGATGGAACCAGACTTTGGTCCTTTATAGTGAATACTTGCAAATTTTTTTTACCAGGTGAAAAGAATACTGACACTTATAATCTTTTTAAAAGAGAAGTTTCTTTTGTGTGTGACTCTCAAATTTTCCTTCTAGATCATTGTCCAATTAAAGAGAGATTGAAATTCTCTCATTCTGATGTAGTTATAATTGTGTTTGTGTTGGGCAAAAAATATAATTTTTAGAGGAATCAGATTGTGTACCTAATAATGTGTTTTACATGCACATATCTTTTATTTGAAAATATATTTGAGGGGCGCCTGGGTGGCTTAGTCGGTTAAGCGTCCGACTTTCGGACGCTCCCTCTCTCTCTGACCCTCCCCTGCTCACGCTGTCTCTCTCTCTCTCCTAGAAATAAATAAAACATTAAAAGAAAATTAAAAAAAATATATTCGTAATAATTTTCCTCTCCAAAAATATATTTGTAATAATTTTCCTCTTCCTTTCTCTCGCCCTCCTTTCCTCTTTTTCTTTCTCTGTCTCTGCATTGTCTTTCTCTCTCTTACTCCTTTACATTGTTTGTTTTCATCTCTTTGTGATCATACAGTGGAATTTTTATTCATGGGTGCTTATGTACATATAGTACTTCTTTTTTTCTGTTGTCTTAAGGTAGGGTCATAAAAACTTGGCTACTTAATATAAAAAGACACTGTAACAGAGATATCAACATCTTTCAGAGCCTTTAATGTTTTCTCTTTTTAAAAAGTATGTCTTTCTTTCCACTATTCCTCTCTATATCAGCACACATGTGAATTAAAAATAAGCAATCTGGGGCACCTGGGTGGCTCAGTCAGTTTAGTGTCCAACTTCGTCTCAGATCATGATCTCATGGTTCATGAGTTCGAGCCCCTCGTCGGGCTCTGTGCTGACAGCTCAGAGCCTGGAGCCTGCTTCAGATTCTGTGTCTCCCCCTCTCTTTTCCTCTCCCCCCACTTGTGCTCTGTCTTTGTCTCTCAAAAAAAAAAAAAAAGGCAATCCAGTCAAGTTCACTGATCGAATTTTAGGATAAAATTGGGGAGACATGGAGCTTTGATGATGTTTGAAAGCACTCTCTCTAAGAGAGTGTAATCTTAAAGTCATGCCCCGGAAAGGAATTACCTTGATCAGATGCCAAGGCGGTTGCATGCCACAGATAGCATTGCTGCTTCTAGACACTGCTGCCCCAAATCAGATTCCTCCTCATTTCATCATCAGCTACAGCTACTGGTTAACGTTAGCACGTAGGAGGGTATTTTAGACACTTCTTAATTTGCGATTAAATTTGCGATCCCCTTTCTGAAAAAGGGAAGGGTTCTAAGTTTTTAACTCAGGACAAACAACTTGTGTTTATTCACTGTGGAAACAGAAAGGAACCTTAGCACTATTTTAGTTCAACATCATCTCGTCATTGAATATTTTCTTCACTTCTGGCAAAATCTTACCTTAAGCCATCCTTATTTTGCACGGATCTGAGAACAGAATTTGGCTCTCCCCATTTCATACATTTTCAGGTGGTATTATTTGCAGCCACTGTTAAGCAGTCTCATAACAGCCCTATATTTCAATTGTATTTTTCTTTACATTGAAAGATATATATTTGTTTTATGGAAAAGTTTGTTCAACAGAGCTTTTCTTGTGTGTGTGTGTGTGTGTGTGTGTGTGTGTGTAGATGTGTATTTTCCCCCTGAGATAAGATTAAAAATATTTTTATAGGAAATCAAGGGAAAAAATTATAACACAAATACATCTGTAGCCCAGACTTCTCCCCCAACTTTAGACTTGTATATCCACCTGCCTGTTTAATCTCTCCAGTTGAATAGAAATACATGCATCAAATTCCGCACATCTACTGGTTTCTGATCATCAGCCCAAAC